TGTTTCTGTTCCTGTCCTCAGTTTCCCAGCATGCCCTGGCTGTGGTGGTGGAGGTGAATGAGGGGGCAGAGTCTGTCCTGCTGCCCTGTGAGTTCTCAGGTTTAATACCTGAGAATGACTCCACCGTGATGTGGACTCACAAAGATCTTTATAACAAATCTGTCCACCTACGACGAAAAGAAGGAGATGATCTTGGAGAGCAAAACCAGGGTTACAGCGGGCGCACATCGATGAGGCCTGATGCTCTGAACACTGGAAACTTCAGCCTCACTCTGAGAAAACCACAACTGACTGACAGCGGCAACTACACCTGCTCCATCAGTGATGGAAGAGAAGAAAGGAGACTGATAGATATACAGCTGCAGGTCAAAGGTCAGACATAAACCCAAATATTTGCTGTACTTATAGGTCAAACGTCAGCGCTATGGACAAAGGTCCGGGGTCAAACTAAAGGGAATAATTGGTCAAATGTAAGGCAAAAAAAAGCAAAGACAAAAATGACTGGGTAGGTGGAGAGATTGAGTTGGTTTTTCTTTGGTGTTTATTCTTCGCTCACCTAGTTTTACACCACTCTGAGAGCCTGATTCTGCTGGAGGGTCTTTACCTTTTAATATTAAGCGCCTTGAGATGATTGTTGTTCTTCTCTTGTGGTGAGTGAAGAGTGAATGATGGCAGAGATGAGTGGAAGTAAGGAAGAGAGCCAATATTTCACAAGTGCTGTAGGCAGAGGATCAAGATGAGATGTGGCCGGCTTTGATTTATATATGAACTGAGAAATGTCAGATATATTAGGAACATGAAAGGTGGGAAAAGGTTCAAAATGGAGAAAAGGTTCTGAAGAGGGGATAGACACAACATTCGAACTGAGTTGCTGATGAATGTTATTAATGTACGTGGTGAAGAACAGCATCAAGGAGTTAAGGGTTTCAGATGAATAGAAGTGTGGTGGGTTAACCTCAAGGCGTTGAAGACGTTTGTTGAGAAGCGAAAACAGGATCCTGGTGTTACCCTCATAAGAACTGAGTTGACGCTTTGTTATTGTATGATTCTCAAACACGTAGCTTAAAGCAGATAACTGATAAGCTGGAGAGGAAATGGCACAATATTAGAAGATCATCATTTAGCCTGGAGAAATAGTTTGTTGCTTTATAAGAAAGTTAGAACACCTTAGTATT